TCTCTCTCTCTCTCTCTCACACACACTCACTCTGTCTCACTCACTCATTCTCTCTCTCTCTCTTACTCACTCACTAACTCTTTTTCTCTCTCTCGTGCATCAGCCTCTTTATATGTTTTCTTTCTTTATTTCTTTATTTTTTTATTTCTTATTCGCACATATAGGTACACTACATCTCCGACACATACACCACGCCTATTTTGTGTCTGTCATCCGATGCTTTTAAAGCGTGACGATAGTTCGGCTAAGGTTAAATACAAGATGCGTTTGTTATTCCAAGATAAGAAATGATATTTCTAAAACACCATATATATATATATATATATATATATATATTTTTCTAACATTAATGATAATATTATAATCATTGTTATTTTCGGTATATATTATTCATCGTTTTATTTTAATCATCGTTCATATATTATCGATGATATTATTTTCATACTTTTGACTAACGTATTCGAAAAATTATAAATTCTCCTCCCCCCGCCCCAAAAAAAAAATATTTATCTAATGTGTGGCATGTAATTTTTCTTTTCATAATATTAACCAATTAATTTAAGATTGTTAATTTAGTTATTATTATTTTATTAATCGCGTATAGTATATTATTTTATATTGTTGTTGTTTCTTTTCGTTTATCTAACCTATTCGTGTTTTTTTGAATGTTAAGACATTTTTTAGTAAGTTTTTGATTCACGTAGTTATAAACAGGAAGCCATATTGTCGATTGATTTAAGATCAATGTACGTTACTTTTACTTATTAAAAGTGTCACAAGTTATGAGTTAATTGTATAGAAAAAAAAAAAGAAAAAAAAAAAAGAAGAAAGAAAAACAATGTAGTATGCATTCGAAAAAGTTAAATTTAGGATTACCTTTCGTATTGCAGATTGAAAACGAGTGAGACAAGTCGTTATTGAGATCGGTCACGGCCAATAACAAAGGTACAGACGTATTCTTGAACGATCTTGATTTCGAGGTTTTCTTTTGTACGGAATAAGTTCGTATGCGTCGTCTGAAGAAGATAGGCGAATCAAGAAAGGATTCGTCATATTGTGGCATATCTCTCCTGGTGCCAATTAAATTTTTTTCTACTTCTTCTTCTTCTTTTTTTTTATATTTAATAATAAACGAGACGTGAGAGAGGGATGATGTCGACGCGAGTGTCAAGTCAAAATATGTGACGTAATCATGACGCCGCCATCTTACAAAAATTAATCAACTATTTTCGATTAATCGAAAATAATATATCATCACGTAGATATATTCTAAAGTATCATCGTATCAATATTACCAACATTTTCGTGAAAAAATTAAAAAAAAAAAAACAAAACATAACTATCTCAAATATATGTCTTTTATAATACGTTGATTTAATCCCTCTCTTATTCGTTAATGATTATATTATTTTGCATATATACTTTAGATCAACTATTATTTGAAATACTTTTTCAAGTATGTTTTCAAGTATGTTTTCAAGTTCGCATTACTCGAGATTAAACGATTCTTTAAGAATGATCAAAAAAAGATAGGGAGATGTAACAATAAAAGAGTAGAGATAGAAATGAAAATTGAATTAAGAGGTTAAGAAGATCGGACACTAATTGATTGAAGAGAATCAGGGTAGATTAACAAATCGATATTAAAACTTGTCGAACCGACGACGAACTAACAACTACGTGTGGAGATTGAAGACTGTTAATATCTCTGACTTTGGCCGGGAATAAAGCTTTGTCTATTTTAGCGGGTCAACTAACAAGAAAGAGTGAGAGAGAGAGAGAGAGTAAATGAGTGTATATGTGTGTGTGTATGTGTGATGAAGTGGGGGTGTTGCGAGGGGCAGAAGCAGCAACAGTGGCAGCAAGCAACAGTAAGCTCAAGGAGGGCTGGAGAAAAAGGTTAACCTACCACTTGTTTCTTTTCTTTTGATTAAATAACAAGAGACAGAGAGAGAGAGAGAACAAAAAAAATGGAAGTATAATGGATCAAGGTGAATGAGAAAATTAATGAGAATCTTCAAACGCGATTTGTTTTTACTTTAAAAAGAAGATAAGCGCCCCCGCAAATTTACTTGCAAAGCTTGACGAAAGAATTGTGACCTAACCTTTAAATAAAAAAAAAAAAGAAAAAAAAATAATAAAATACGACACAGGTCAATTTATTCGTATGAATCGATCTAAATTAAAGGTAATCAAGAAGGGACGCGGATGAGGTGTAATCAAAGTTAGTAGGTTATCCAACATTTGATCGAACATCTCTCTCTCTCTTTCTCTCTTTCTCACACATATATATCCTATCCCTAGTAGATCAAAGCGCATATCAGTTTTGATAAGCTACATCTGTTAAAGTTCTTTGCGCGTAAATTAAACCGAGATAAAGTTGTCTATCCGCCATTGATTTAAAAGAAAAAAAAAAAAAAAAAAAAAAAAAAAAAAAAAAAAAAAAAAAATATTAATAATAAGAAGGATCACAAGCTTGTTAAAATTGTTCAAAATAATATCGGCCATGATTGCGAATGCAATTGAAAATATATATTTCAAAGAATACGTTGAATAATAAATAAGCTTGTAAGCAAAGAACATATGTTTTTGACGTTTGACAGGGGAAAGATGGGCGTTCTTAAATGTCAATCTTTAAGGCGGCTTTAAAGTATATTGTTTGAAAAAAAAAAAAAAAACAGAAAAAATAGAACAACAAAAAAATGGAAAAAGCCGGTATGCATAAATGGAAAAAGCGGTGGCGGCGGCGGCAGCGTTGTCTTATAAGGGCGTCACCGTTCGAATTTAAAACGAATTTCGGATTGCGACGAAGAAAAGCGTTTATCTTATGACTTAAAGTCTTCGATGCTAAGTTAAAGGGGATGGGAGGGGAGTCGGGGCGGGGGAGGGAGGTAGAGGGTCGCGCCGTCTTCGTCTGTCAAAAGATACATACGCGAGTTCGCACGTAAGAGAAGGTATAAAAGGTTAATGGAAGTGAGGCTTACCTCCATGTTTGTCAGATTTCGGTGTGGAAGCCATAATAGTCAATAGTTCGTTCGGCTTTAAACGATATCACAGAGTTTCAACATTTTTGCAAACAGCCGCGTCGTGAGTTACGAAGCAGTGGCTGCTGCACTGTTTTCAGTCTGATATAAATCCGACCTGCACCGCTACATCTTCGTTCGTCGGCCATTTTTCAATGGGCTTCGAAGTAATACCCGCCATCTGGTGGTAAATAAGGATAAATTACGGCAACAAGATGGCCGACCCAGTGTTCATCGCGGCGTACTGACCAGCGAACGTACCAATTTATATTCTTCTATCTTTCTTACCGTAGAAAGCGTGAACTTGCCAAAATTCAGAGGTACGAATCGTTTCTGATCAACTTAGCTTCCCTTATAATCGTATTTAATTTATCTCGATAAGGATTTAGTATACGTCGTATAGATATGAGTTAGTCGTTCGACGAATCGACCCTCAAAGACGCCGCTCGCGAAAAGCTTGCGATGATAGGGCGGTGGCGCGATCGTCGTACATTCTTCTCAACAAGTTTTAACCGTTCTATACCATAGGTTGTACACTCCGATAAGAAATTTTTTCCCTTAAACCCCTATTTTGAATCTTCTCTCATATATATATATATATACACACACGTACACACATAGAAAAAGATATAACGACGACTAAAAAGGGCGCGTCATTCGAACGCGTTAAGAATAACGATTGGTTTATTTCGAAGATGGGCAATATTGGATTGCAACAACATTACGAGACAGCCAAGAAGACGGGAGCACTGAGATTGTCTCAAAAGAAACTGGACGAATTTCCATCGAATCTACGTACATTGGCCCATCTTCTACGTAACTTGGATATCTCCGAAAATAAATTTACTAGATTACCCGACGAAATCGGCGAGTTTACCTTATTGAAACAGATCAATTTGAGTCGCAACAGGCTTACCAGTTTGCCAGAGATCATCGGTCTTTTGTCCAAATTAGAATGTTTCAATGCAAGCTCGAATTACATCGAAAGGGTCCCGCGTGCCTTTTCGAAATTGTCCCATTTGAAACAAGTTAATCTTTCCGACAATCGTATCACCGAATTTCCTTTAATGTTTTGCGATTTGAAACATCTCGACGTGCTTGATCTATCGAAAAACAAATTAACGATGATACCGGATGGTGCTTCCTTACTTTCCGTAACCGAATTAAATCTCAATCAAAATCAAATTTCTATAATATCGGATAGGATAGCTGAATGTTCACGTCTGAAGACGCTGCGACTGGAAGAAAACTGTTTACAATTGAACGCCATACCTACGAGGATATTAAAAGAATCTAATATATCTATGCTAGCGTTAACTGGAAATCTTTTCGAGATGAAACAATTCGCTGATATTGAAGGGTACGACAATTACATGGAGAGATATACAGCTGTGAAAAAGAAAATGTTTTGAACAAATCAAGATTAAAAATGCATCTCGTTATCGCATTAGAATTAATACAAACGCACATACTATAGTTTCTCACGTACTTTTTGTTGATTATGGTTCCCCCCATCAAATTCTTCGATGTATTTATATATCGTCTACGTTCTTTAACAATCTTTGTATATACATATATAATATATCAACGTATTTGTATCTATTTAATGCAAATTTTATGAAAAATAAATTATATCTTCTATTTATTTTTAATATGGCCCTATCATCATTGTACTACCCTTTACATATTACTAATATATAGTTCCTGTTAATTTCAATAAAATACTTATTCAAGATTATCTATAATATTTTAAATACTATTTCATATTTATTATTACGACAAATTTTTTGATAATAATCGTTAAAACGATTAAATATTATTATCCGGAAAATTGAATAACTTAATGTATGAAAATAACATGAGACAAAATATTCGTTGAATGAGTTATGAACGTGACTGTACCTTGATGTAGAGAGAACATACTAAACTGATCTATAAAACAACTATGCGTACAAATTTATACAAAATATATACGAATTTTCATATTAACAATAAATATTATTAATATATAATAATAATCATATTAATTTCTATTGATAATTAACAACATTCTTAATTGTTTATGTTATATCTGCATCGTGATACGGTTACGAACGAGTATCAGTACTGTAACACGAACATATCGGAATGAAGTTCTTCCTAAAAAAAAAAAACAATTACCCATTGCAAAGTATATAAATAAATAAATAAATAAATATATATTAAGTCCGAAATTTTGTAAAAAGATATTTCAAATATAAATGCAAGATTATAATTAAATAATTAACAAAAATATATACATATATATATAAAAAAAAAAATCAAGAAATACGGATAAAAAGAGAAGGGTGTATAATTTGAAGGATACGGCCCTGTGACGTCCATGTCAACGCCGGTAGTACGCGTTTGACTATCGTAGTGTTTCAAGCAAGTGTTTCTTTCAAGATGGCGATGGTAGCTCGTTCGAATTTTCAAGTAAAACAATGAAATGTTTTACCGAGTATTATTCTCGGTTGTGATGTAAAAGATCGTGGAAAATTCGTGGTGGTGATCTAACATCATTTAAAGTCGCGAATTGTCGCGATTTATTAGTGTCGAAGTGATAACGGGCCGCCTGTGCGTGCCGCCTGTGCGTGCCGCTCGTGCGTGCCGCCCGTGCGTGTCCTCGTCGTTCATTTGCCACGAAAGAAGATAGGGAAAAAAAGGAAAAAAGAAAAAGAAAAAGAAAAAAATAGAAATCCGAAGAAGAAGAAGAAAATTAAAGGAAAAGAAAGGAAAGGGAACGAACGAAGAATAAAAAAAAAAACGGGGGGGAAAAAGAAACAAGAAAGAAGCACTCACTACTAACGAACGAATGGAATAAATAAATAAAGTAATTAAACGGTTATACCCCGAGGGAAAAAAAAAAGGATTGAGAGTAAGAGTTTGTGGGGGATTAGACAAGAATTGAAAACAAAAAAGAAGAAGAAGAAGAAGAAGAAAAGAGAGAGAGAGAGAGAGAAAAAGAACAAAAATTACAATATATATATATATATAAAATTGCGAGATAATTGTGAGGGGGGGGAAAAGAAATAATAGTAGAGAGAGAGAGAGAGAGAGAGAGAGAAAAAAAATTATCAAAAAACAAAAACATCAATTATATATACATATATATATACATATATATGTGTATGGACGTGTATGTAAAAAAAAAAAAAGAAAGAAAAAAGAAAAGAATATAGGGGAAAGAAGGAAAAGTGAGTAAGGGTAGTAGAAAGGAAGAGAGAGATAGAAGATACTTCAAAAGTACGAGCGAAAGAGGTGGATTGAAAAACGATAGAAACAAGAGATAGAGAGAGAGAGAGAGAGAGAGAGAGAGAGAGAACAGGGGAAAAAGAAAAGAGAATAGAAAGAGGAAGAAGAAGAAGAAGAACAAAAAAACCATAAATCTAAAAGAAAGGAAGAAAGAAGGGAGAAGAAGGCGCGAGTAAGCGTCGTCGTCGTGGTCGTCGTGGTCGTGGTCGTGGTCGTGGTCGTGGTGGTTTCTTTCAACGGGGGCGGATTGACCATCTTTACCGTTGTTCCTATTTCTCCACCTCCTTGTCCTCCTACTTTTACTGCTGCTACTGTTGCACCTCTTGTTCTATCGTGATCATCCTATTCGTAATCGTAATCGTAATCGCATTTGTGTTAAACGAGGTTTTATTTCTTTCTATAACCGAAAGCCACCTTTACAAATTATCTGATGCAAATTCGAAAATGAGACAGTAAAGTTGCAAATAATTTTCAACGAGAGGAAAGTCAGCCCCCCTCCTACCTACCTAACCCCCCCCCCAGCAACCCCGCCGCCTCCCGAGGTACGAAGAACCTACCTCCTGCAGAATGGTGTGTGCAAATAATTCTTTTAAATTTTATTCCACAAACGTATTCTAATTGTTCTTCCCCCTTCCCCTCCCCTACCATCCCATTTTGTTTCTCATATGTCTGTCTGTCTGTCTGTCTGTTCTTTTTCTCTCTTTATCAATTTTTATATCAGTCATCTCTTCCCTCCTTTTTTTTCTTTTTTCTTTTCACATTTTTATTCTCAAATTGTATTTTCTCTTCGAAGCATAAAGTTGGATGATTATATGTGGGTATCGTTCATTGTTTTAGAAATAAAAGAGAAAATGTCAGAATTAGAGGAAAGTCTGGCAGCGCCAGATAGTACAACAAGGGAACAGCGTTTAGGTTTTTCTCATGGAGACGACGTATTACTTCAACATAAGGATGGGAAATATTACTTGGGTACTGTTGTTGAGGTAAGAGCGTTATTTATTTGGTTTCAATTATTTCCTCTCTTGTTATATTAATATTCCTAATATTTTCTATGCGTTATATTTTAAAGGTGGATTTGGCTAGAGAAAGATGTCTTGTTAAATTTATGGACAATACATCTTCGTGGTCATCGGTCAAAGAGTTGACAAAACTCTCTATGCCAGAGTCGGATGTTATGTGCGTTCTCTGTAAAAAATCTGAACCTAAAACGGACAATGATATTATTGTGTGCGATAAATGTGGTCGTGGTTATCATCAACTTTGCCATCAGGTACATATCGTAAATTATCATATTTTCTTTTTCATTATTATTTCTAACGTTGTCTTGCGTATCTTTAGCCTCATGTATCCAAAGAAGAAACAAGAAGCGATACCAATTGGATGTGTAAAAGATGCATGGATAATCAAACGAGGAATCGCGAATCTGGAGAGATTAAGAAATGTATGGTTAAAGTAAATATTAGAAAAGTTTGTAGCGGCAGAGATCAACCTCAACCACCTCCAGATGATATGACCAAATTACCATACGATGTTAGTATACCGAATGTTATAAGATCTAATGTATAAATAGATTTCTTATCGATTGTTATTAACTGATAATATTTTATAGCCTGATATGTTGAGTTGGGATGTACATCATCGAGTTAACGCAGAACAAATTTATTGTTATTGTGGTCTAAATGGAGAATGGTACACGCAAATGTTACAATGCGCACGTTGTAAACAATGGTTCCATGAAAAATGCGTTAGTTGCTTAAGGTATCCTCTCTACAGTGGAGATAGGTAAGATATTTGAGAATGAAATTAAAAGGAGACTCTAATTCTGACATCATTACATATTTATTACGTATTTCAGATTCTATGTTTTTGTTTGTTCAATGTGCAATTACGGTAAAGAATTTGTACGACGTTTGGAACTAAAATGGGCCGATTTAGTGCACCTGATGTTGTACAATCTGACTGTTTACAATGCAAAAAAGTATTATGATTTAGATACCGTTATTATACCTTATGCCAATGACAATTGGAATTCTTTGCAACTTCCACCACGCGTAAGATACTCTTTCTATTAATTAACATACTTTTAATAATCGTTAATATAAATAATCTAACATAGAGAAATATTGGTTAGATTCGAGATGTTAGTGTTCAAGTGCGCAGAGATTCAATACTAGCCATATTAACCAGTAATAGGAATAGATTCAAGTGTGGAAGAGAAATTAAGAAACGTACTACAATATGGGGTCTTAGAGTTAGATTACCACCGCCATGTCCTATTGTCAATCTTCCAGCATCTGGAATTATAGATGATTCTGTATTACGTAGATGCTGGGGTGCTAATAAAAGACTACAATATCTATCTCCATCTGCAGGGTTTGTATCATTTTCATTTTATTCAAATATGTATAATGTTCTATTGAAAATTTATTTCTTGAGATACGATTATATATTATATTTATAGATGTGTGCCTGAAAGTACAAAACAATTGAATGTACTGAAAGAAGTTTCACCTGAAAATTTGGAAATACCTGTCAATCCGTCGGACGTCGTAATGAGAGGAACCATTTATCAAAATTCCGAAGCAGAGCAAAGTTCGTGTCCAAGTCCAAATCCTCTTTCTCAATCCACACAATCTTTGAGAGAAAGGTATTTACGATAATACATATTTATTATTATTATTACTATTATTATTATTATTATTATTATTATTATTATTATTATTATACATAAATTTATATATAAGAGCACATAGAGTTAATGGCCTAACCATGTTAAAAAAACTAGTTCCTATAAAATTACTAAAGACAAACGATGTGGATACGATTAGTAACATGGATGGGTGACTCATCTAGGGAAGCAAAAAACAAACTATGTATTGTTGTCTATAAAGTGGCGGTAAAATGATGTTATCTCTTTGGAATTATAGGTTATGTTTGTGAAAAGGTTTTCGTAGAAAAGTGAGAGTAATTTAAAAGAGAGAGATAGAGAGAAAGAGAGAGAGAGAGAGAGAGAGAGAGAGTGTGTAATAAAAACAATATATATAAAAGCGTATATATATATTATATATATAATATGTATATATATATATATATACATATTAAACATTTTACAGATATAGCGGAGGTGGTTTTGTAAAAAAGACTTTCCCATTTCCAAAGTTAAGTTTACAGAGAAGAAGAAGATTAATGGTACTGGGTAGTTCTCGGGAAAGAATGTTCCGTAAGCATAAAAAAAGGGAGAAAGGTGCAGATGGTTCATTAGGGAAATCACAAGGCGTAAGGGAAGCCAGATATAGGAAAGCTAGGAAGCTATTAAAAAATGCCATTGCTAAGGTAATTACATAATTATACTGTTAATGATTAACCCCTTGGCCTATAACGAGTCTCGCTCGTGATTAGGAATTTTTTCATAAAATGCCGCGTATTATTATTATTATTTTAATCAGCGATTTGGAGTTATTTCACGTCGAGTATCTTTCCTTGTAATGTAAGTATTTTGTTTTTATCATTTGTTTCTGACAAAATTGGATAATTTCTTTAGTTCAGCGTGAGAGTTCGTTCGTTCTTTTGAACAGCGGGATGACACAGCGTGCAATCGAATTTCTTGTTTACTATGACACGTGCGATCGGCAGATATCGTTTAGGCTAAGGAGTTAATTATAGAAATGATCTTCTTGCAATATTTATGATTATTTTTTTTTTGTTTTTTACTTATCTTTCTCTCTATTTAGAGCAAACCTCGAAATTCAGAACAATCGGATTTACCACCAACACCCCCAACTTCCGTATCTGGTCCACCAACACCGCCAGCTACTACTTCGGTTATGTCTGAATTATCTGTGCCCAGTTCAATGGAATTAATGCATTCTCTGCCACCATCTACCCCAGCAGATACTAGTGGCGATGAAACGAGTTCAAGAGGAACATTAGACTCCTTCATTCCACCTCCAAAAGATTTCGAAGGGAAAAATCATCCGTTTCTAAATTTGAGCGATCTGTTGGGTACATCATGTAGTTCTAATCAGGCAAGCACGAGTACACCTTTAGCTCAAAATCAACCTCCCATTACGTTGCCTCTTCCATTGACACCCGTGATAGCACAACCACCAGTAGTACGTCCAACCAAACGTCAATTATCAGAGAAAGACATTATTATAGACAGAAATGGACAAGTGAAACGAAAAAGACAACATCGACGCGGTAGACCATCTCAACAGCAGCAACAACTTCAACAACAATATCAACATACAGCTAGTAAAACTGCTACAATTTTGCCAGCACGATATAACGAAGTTAAAAATGAATTTGTGAGAAATTTAAGGAGTTCGTTCAATGGTGGTGGTGGTGGTGGTGGTGGTGGTGGTGGTGGTGGTGCTTCGAGCAGTGCCAGTAGTCAAATTGGAAATTGTGTTGATTACGCCTTAAACGGAAGAAGATTACGACAACGACAGAGCAGTGAAAAATTACCACCACCAGATCCGCAGCCGCAAAAGAAGTGTAATGCATCATCCTCTCCTAAATGTTCGCCAATGAAGCAAAGTTCTCCCGACGTATCTTTGGAGGATCTTAAATCATCAGTGAATGTTTACTTTGGAGCTGCCAACAGGATAGCAGCAGGTGAGAAGTTTGTGATCAAGGCAAAAAGGGTAGGACCTAATGGTCAAACACAGTATCTCATTGAATGGGAAAGTCTTAACATTTAACGGTAAAAAAGTTATTTACTAAGGAAGTATCATTGTGGTCAGGTAATTAATAATACTCGGCCAAATAATATTGAATAGAGAACAACCGTTATCTGACAATCTGGATACTTAGGACGAAAATATCGTAACGAATCGATTTGTGTCACTCACTGCCATTCGTTAAATACATTTATCTATAACGAAGTATGTGTATTAATTGGTTTATGATGTTTGATTGTTCTTATGGGTATATATTAGATTTAGATTTTTTAAATATACAGTATAGATCAGTGAAGCACAACCTGCAGCCTGCGGGTCGCATATGTAACACTTGGACTTGGATATCAATGTATCATCTTACGACCCCACCCCCCTCCGCCTCCGACTCAGAAAAAAAATTATCACGATTTTTTGACCGAAGCTTGTTTATTTTCTTTTTTCTTATCCAAAAAAATTCACGAACAATTTTATAATGCGGCCCGCAGCCAAAATCAAACTTGCGATCCTGTACAATTAGAGAAGGCTGTGCGTCTCATTGGTGTAGATTAATGAAATTGATCATTCAGAAATCTTACAAGTACTGCTTTAAAAAACTAAATAAGTTGATAATTAAATTTCATTGCTGGTCAATGAATTGAATTTTTTGAGAAATTTCAAAGTCAGGTCTATCTTTCTTGATCTTACTTTGAGTATAGTACACTCATATTTGATTCCTTACTAAAATTATACCGTCCAAATTTATTATTCAAACGTGGGATGTTAAGGGCATTTAAAGTTGAATAAAAACTTTGTAAAAGTTCGACGTAAAATAAATTTGAAAATATACCAAAAACTTATAAGAACAATCAAATATGCGTATACCAATTATATCTTGTAAATAATGTAGTATAGTAGTTTAACATTTTAAAAAAAAAAAAAAAAAAAATCAATAAACGTGGGTCCTGTGAAAAGCGAATGAAGTCACGTAGGCTCTTTCTCTGTTAGAGAACAAAATGATTTGTCTCTCTTTGGAATTATAAGGCAAATTATAGTTACAACAAAGATAGTCGTGAATCAATGCAGATGGTTGTTCCTGTCATTTGAACTATCATAATAGTACATGTTAGTAGCATTGTAGTACATATTAAGACGAAGCAGACATACTGCAAAAGATTATTTTTTAATACATTCATAAGAGACATACAACAATTTTCAATGTCTGCAACTTGACCATCTTTTAAGTCATTGATCATACAAAATGCATTAAAGCAAAAAGCTTTTAACAAATTATATTGGTATTTTACAATAAGCAGTGTTATGGTTAAACAAATTTATTTTTATTACATCGAATTTTTGATCCTATCATCATAACTTAACCATAAGCATAGAAGATATCCATTTCTAATGAAATAATCAAATTTCTAATGACTAAAGATGCTGAAGATGCAGAATAAAACTATTGCTCCCTATTACGCAAGATTAAAAAGAAAAGAAAAGAAAAGAAAAAAAAGAAAAATAAGAAAGCACATGCTTATTATTTCATACCACGTATAAAGTAACAAGAACAATTACAATTAATCTCTTAGATGTGTTTGAACAACCTACTCTGCGAAAGTATAATAGACAATTGACTAATTTATCTTCGTTGACTTTTCACACGATAATATAAACAAAATAATCATATATAAAAAGATTCCTCGTGGTGCCGGATGTTTAATAATTTGGTATGTTCTGTAGTAGAATCCGTGTTAAACGGTGTCTGTGATCTGAGCATGCTTATCAGGATAAAAAGTATCAGAACGAAAGCCAATGATTAATATTGACAACAAACTTAATTATCATGAGATTATATTTTAATTTCAAAAACAAGGATCACATTTATAACGTACAATTTTACATTATATCATCGGTCGCTCACACAAATTTTATGTAGGAAATTTTTTCTTTTTTTTTTTCTTTTTTTTTTTTTTTAAATTTTATTCGTTATTTATCGGAAATCATTTTTTATTATTATTTAATTTAATTTTTATATCGTTAATACAAGATGTTTCTCGCAGATAAGCATTCCTATTTTATTATGATACATAATGTGTGGTAAATAATCTACGTAAAAAATATTTAAACAATTTGCAGTAGAGGGATTATTTATACTGTGATCGAGAATATATATATACGATTAAATCAGCCGAAATGAAATGAAATGAAATGAAATGAAATGAAATGAAATGAAATGAAATGGAAAGAAAAGTAACAAACTATTCACATTAACAATAGTATCAGATTTTGCAAATACCATTCTTTGTCATCATATTCAAAAACCGGTGAACTTTTAGGACTGGTTGTTAATTAAACGACTGTGAAAGTTGTATAATATTAAATATCGAGAAAACCTTCGTATGCAAGTGTTAGCGCGAATGATTTTTTATTTCAATCGCTTACATCTAAAAAGATATAGGTTTTATTAATTAATGCGATTGCGAATTAATTATAATAGCATTGGGATGCAATTTTCTTTGCACTTTCGTCTACACAGAGAGGCTCGTAATTGTGTTTAAAAAAACAAATGATATTGTTTATTTCAATACGTCAGTGGTATATTTTTCATTTTAATTCGATTTATTAATTATTATAATATCAAAAATGGTATCTTTTACAAATCCATTTTTTTTTTTTTATATTTCAATTAAATATATATACCTCTTAGAATTTCAAGAAAAATTATTACTGACGTGCCGAAATTAACGAATTTTTTGTTCTTATTTTTTTTCTTTTTATTTTTTTTTTTTTTTTTCTGTATTTTTTAGGAAATGATTTAAGTCACACATATATTATGTTTATCACTTTAATATATCTAATCATATTGATTTGTTGCCGTTCTATTATCATCATCATCATCATCATCATCATCATCGTCTCGCATTCAGTTGTTATAATATTATCATAATATTTAGAATATTGAACATTTTTTAGGTTATAAACAAAAGGAAAAGTTAACCTCTAAACGTGATCTATGTAATATTTACATAAATTATGTTTTTTCAAGTATACTTTTCTTTAAACAGACGTAAACAAAAAAAACATGATATACAACAATATTAAATATTGTTCCTCATCCTTAGAAATATATATATATATAAACGTTGGACGGATATAAAAAGAAAATTGATGAACACTGCCAAACGCTAATAAGTTATTTTTCTGAATAACAATCTATATAACGATATNTATATATATATATATATATATATATATATATATATATATATATTAGGTATTTTATGTCATCAAATTTGAAGACTATTTCTTGTTTTTTTTTTCTTTTTTTATTCTTATTTTAATTGTTTTTCCCTTCATTCATTCGCTTCACACACATTATTCGCAATAAAAAGAACAACATCTCGAATACAATCTGGGAGAGAAACACGATTGATCTTAAACAAAAACAAAAAACACAAAAGAAATAGAAAATACGCGTCACAACGAATAATTAATTATGCAACGTTAATTATTAATTTTATTACAGATTTGTTTGTTTGTTTTTTTTTTTTCTCCTATATTCACATATGCAAATAATGTGCGTTCACGTATGAATAATTTATCGGAACGCACTTGTGAAAATAGGTTAAAAAGTATAAAAATAAATGAAAGAACAGATAGAAATAATTAAGATCAATAATTTGAGGAAGAATTAAAAATGTTCATATCGGTAAGGAAGAGAACTGAATTTTCGATACCGCCGCTGCTGCTATCTATACGGAGGCTTAGTAATTAGAACAATTTTTTATTCCAACGGGGTCTCGATTAATTGATAAAGAAGATAATTAATTAATGAATTAATTTATATAATGCTAGGATTAAAATAATAAATGAATTTCGGCTCGTAATGACTTAAATAAGATAAAAGAATGTTTGATTATAAACCAAGTGAAAACAAATGTTACTGCCATTTAACGTTACGTCAAACGCGTATATGTATATATATATATATATATATATATAAAACTTTTCTTTTATTTCCAATTTTTTCCTTATATAATTTATTTTTAAGGTAGATTATTATATATATATTTCACGGTTACACTTTTTTTGAAAGTAAAAGAAGAAAAAAAAATTTTTTAAATATTATTCAAAATATTGCGTATATAAAAGCACACACACGAAAAAAACGTTAAAATAATTATTACGCAAAAACACACAAAATGTGTTGCCCGAAATTATTCTAATATTCACTCCGATATTTGCAATGCTTTTTTTTTTTAAACGAATGATTAATAATCAATCCTCTTTTAAAAAAAAAAAAAAAAAAAAAAAAGAATGTATTTTGAAAATGATTTACATAAATTATAACATCTCAAGTATATCAAATTTGTTACATTTTACATTTGAAAAATTCATTCCACTTGTCGATTCCATTCGTTCGTTGTAAAAGTTATGCAAATGATTTGATAATGAATTTTCTTTTTACGGCGAAATAATTGCACGATTTTGTTTTGTTTTTCTTTTTTTTTTAATATATAACGGTATTAATCAAATATCAGAAGCGTTATGC